ACTTAAAACATGCCTACATTTTGTGGGAATCTCGACCATTATATCAGCCATGTCCATTCCATTGCTTCTATTCGCTTTCCTTATTTTATCTATTCTGCACGAAGCTATTCTAAATTGTCCCACTTTCTAAAATGATATGTGAGTGTACCTCGGTCCCCAGCTAATTTCTTCTCCTCCTTTCTATTTTCTAATAATCTTTTCTTAATCTCCAAATAAGTTGGTGGTTTTTGTCTATTTTTACTATCTATAAATATCATATATTTTATCAAAATTATGATATGATTTAATAACTGTTCCTTCCCTATGTTAAACTCAACTACCCCTACATGGATACCTTTCCAATTTATATTTGTAATCTCTACTAAATTAAATAAATTCCCACACTCTTCCCAAATTGGTTTTACTTTCTCACAAAGACAAAATAAATGCTCATAAGTTTCTTCATATTTACCACAAAAAGAACATAAATTACTATCAACCATTTTAAATGTATATAAATGTAATTTAGTATATATAATATTATAAAGCATTTTAAATTGAAATTCTCTAAGCTTACTATTCAAAGTGCACTTTCTAAGTCTTAAAAATATTAGTTGTATATCTTTTCCATGAATATTATAAGTCTGTTCTAAATGTCGTTCTGCATACGATTTTTCTACTCTCTTATTTAATAAAAAAGCGTATATAATTTTTGAGGTTATTTGATCTAACATATATACCTTTTCAAACATATTAATATCCTTATCTAATTCCCTATCTATATTTGAGTGAGTATTTTTATTTAAAAATTGTTTCCATGAAGACGGGATGCCAAGAAAAATATGTTGTATTTTACTAATTTATAAACTATTTAAACCTTTTCTTTGAAATTCCTCATTAGATTTTATATTACCTTCCTTATCAACAATATGATGCAACTTATACACATTTTTGTTAAATAATCCCTCATCAAAAGGAACATGACCATCGATAAAAACAAATCTATTACTATAGATAATCTCATTCCTCCTAGAAACACTTTCCTTTAACAAAAATATTCTCGTAGCCATCCAAACATCCAACATGTCTCTATAAAATGCTGGTAACACTAATTCAGATATACCTACGGTTGCATTATTATAAAATATCAAAATTCCTCCAGCATCTTTAGTTAAATAATTAAAATATTGTTTCCATCCCATGTTTGCATCCCCCGTTAAAAGTCTCTTTACCCACATAATCCTCTGCACTAAAATAAATAAATGAAAGTCCGTTAATCTTAGTCCACCTCTACAATAATCCAAGAACATTACATTTCGCTTTATCTTATCATTTCCTTTCCACAAAAAGTCAAAAACCAGTTTATCCAAATCTGTAAATACCCAATTTGGTACTGGTGTCAGCGCCGATACATAAATCAATTTTGACAAAATAAATGTTTTTATCAATTGAATTTTCCCCATTAAAGTTAAATCTCTTTGTTTCCACCAAGACAACAACTTTTTTATTTTACTCAAAATTTCCTTATAATTTGTCCTTTCCTGAATTTCAACATCTAAAGAAAAATATATACCTAAAATCTTGACCATTTGTACTACTTTACCAAATGGAAGAGCAATATTTTTATTTTGAGAAGGGCCCAACAATAATATAAAAGTTTTTTCTTTATTAATTTTTAATCCAGAATTTCTAGCAAAATTTTCAAACAGTTCCCCCACCTTTTTAAATGAATTTGAGTCCCGAATAAAGAGAGTCATATCATCTGCATAAAGAATTTGTTTTACATGTACGTTATTAAAAGTAAATCCTTGAATTTCAGGGTCTTTATATATTGAACGAGCTAAAATTTCAATACAAAGTATAAACAAATATGCGGACAGGGGGTCCCCCTGTCTAACACCTCTCTTAATATCAAAGTACCCAGTAGATGAGCCCCCATTAAAGACACAACTTTGAGCATTATTATATATAGTCTCCACCCATCTACAAAATGATGGTCCAAAACCAAATGTAAACAAAACCTTCTGCAAAAAAGTATGTGAAACTGAATCGAAAGCCTTTTCAAAATCAATTATCATCATATATCCAGGTATTTCATTGACTGATGTATGATGAATTATATCATCTATCATTCTAATTGCTTCACCTATATTTCGATCCTTTAGATAACCCACCTGGTCGACAGAAATTAAATCATTTAAAACTTTTTTAATCCTTATAGAAAGCACTTTAGTCAAAATTTTGTAGTCTACATTCAATAAAGATATTGGTCTATAATTTTTTATAAATAAGGGATCTTTTCCTTCTTTATGAATCAAACTAATTCCCGTATTCATTCTTCGCCATCTTGCCAAGAGAGGGCAGCATGCAACAATAACCCAAAATGGTTGAGAATCGTAACGTTTAGGATAATGCAGGGAATAGAAGTTGGAGGAGTCAGAGAGTCACATACATACATAAGCTACACAGAGAGGATGAGAGAGAGAGAGAGAGAGAGAGTGAGAGAGAGAGAGAGAGAGAGAGAGAAGGAGAGAGAGAGAGAGAGAGAGAGAGAGAGGGGGGGGGGGGGTGCAGGCGCGGATCCAGGGGGTCCCCCCCCCCCCCCCCCCCCCCCCCCCCCCCCCCTGGAAGAAAAAAAAGACGGGCAAAAAAAAAATCTCTCTTTTTCCTATACCAAATGCCCTTTCCTGGCCTGAATCAATATTTCTCAATAGTTGTTCAAACCTTTCTGGGTACAATCAGTGAATTGAAATGGAAATTAAAAAAAGATAATCTTCTTCTCAAGATTCAAGATTTATTTCTTTCTTTCCACTTACATAATACATTAATGAACAATAACAACTTCATCGTCCACTAGAATAAATTCTTTAACAATAACAAAAAAGTTATAAAGACGTTGAAAATGTGGAAAAGAGGTCACAGTGGTCTATAAAAAAAAAAAGCACAGCTTGTTAAACACAGACCACCTTTACAGGAACAACAACAATTAAAGAAAAAAAAGAATTACTATACAGGGGGAGGGGCAGTGGCGGATCCAGGGAATGGCCCGGGCCCCCGCCCTTGAGAAAAAAAAATCATGTAAAAACACCTTTTTAGGGGGTTGGCCCCCCCCCCTCCCTGGCGCCCAAGGGGGGGGGGGGGGTGCAAATTTTAAAATTCCGAGGACCAAAAAGAAAAAAAAGGGCTCACTACCCCCCCCCCCCCCCCCTCTCCACTGAGCGACTTTTCGGGAATAAAAAAAAAATGAAAAAAAATAATGCTCACTTCTTCAGCTGTAATAACACAATGGCCAATCATTTTGCAGTTTCTCGATACAATTCTTTAGTATTAAACTGTACCCATAGAGATATATACTTGTAAGTAGTATATATCTCTATAACTGTACCATACTACATGTAGTTTACAAGTAGTTTACACACATAAAGATGAAAACACCATGCAACATAATTATAATATGCGCTTATTGTGCTAGCACCTCTAGCATCTGTTTTAATTGAAGGACTTTACCTGTTTTAATTAAAAGATTTTTCAAAGTACACCAGAATCTTTTTTGCACCTAGTATAAAACCATTTATACACCCCTTTTCAATATAATTTACCTTTTATGTTCACTAAAATGCACCTTTCTTGTACTTTAATTCTTTGTACACTTTCACAACAGAGCTATTTAAAATACATGATGAATATGAATAATGAAAACAATTGAAAACCTATCTAATGTCTGAATTCCTTATTTAAGACGTAGTGTATTTCACAATCTGATGTAATTAACGTTGTTGAATTATATTTAATTATGTCATATTATTTTCGTTCAACGTACTTACCTTGTTAGGCGCCTTGAGCATCTCTTGGGGTGGATATGTGCGCATTATAAATGTTGTTATTATTATTAGTAGTATTATTACGGGTATGAATACACACAAGGGCCAATAGGTATAGAGGTTTGCATCTGATTGAAGCCTGTATTGTTCTAACCCATAGAGGTACAGAGTTTTTGAAAGGTTTAAATGAGTCAGGATTTCGTCCTCAAATTGGCAACAACTGTATCTGTATTTCACTCCTATTTGATAAATGTATATCAAATGACCTACCGGTAATATAAAAAAATTTATACACTCCTTTTCATATGGCAAAATACTTCCTTTATGTTTACTCTATAGGCTTTAACCAATATTCTTGTACTTTCTTTGTACACTTTTAAAGAGAGCTTTTTCAAATACAATGATGAATACACACAAGGTCCAATAACTAGAGTTTAGGCCCCGGATTTATTTAGAGATGGGAGAGATGTAGGCTCGAGAATTAAGGAGCAAATCCCAAAATCCCGGAGAAAATGAGGGAGAAAAGAGGGGAAAGGAATAAATGAAAATAGGGACCCATGTCTAAGGATTTTTTTTTAATGAAAAGGGGACCAATGTCTAAGGATCTTTCCTGAAAAAGTCACCCTTCCGAGCAGCACATCCCCGTATACCTAATATACGTGAGTACCCCCCCCCCCCCATTTTCCGTTTTCTATTCTTTTGAGAAAAAATGTAAGAGCTGAGAGGGGGTATACCCCATTTGGTGACACCTTTCCCATGGCCCAAAAAAAATCCAAGATCGGTTGAACTTTTTTAGACCACTCCCCAGGACGTCGATCGATTACATGTATGTGCCCCCCTCCCCCCCCCCCCCAACATCAAACTCTGGCTACGACAAGAAGGGGGAGGGGAAGGGGGGGGGGGGGTGATGGGCGTGACCCGTCTTCTAACTTTGTGGAATTTAGCAAGTCTAATCACGTGTCGTACTTTGCCGATATGTAGACTAATATTTTTTAAATCTGGCAATATTTTATATGAAATAATAAGGAAAAAGTCAACCTTAATATTGAATAAATTAAAAATGATATTTTGTGTCAAATATTCACTTTTAAAATTAAATAATTAAATCAATTGAGATTGAGAATATATTAATCTGTAAGACGGCTACTTCGATATCTGATCGCGAAAACTAAATTTGTGGTTACGTACATGCATGATGACCGATGATCACAGCATCATCGTAACGGTATGTGGAACCGAAACCGGACATTTGATGAAATGTGGACATTTTAATAATGGATAATCTCTACTGGCTACCCATTTTTCTTCATTAACCAATTTTATTTAGTGGAATTTCGATTGTTGTGGACTTTAACAAAAGAGACATTTGCAAGTAGACGAAATAACAATATGAATTTCGAATCCATCTCGCGGCGTTTGCCGTTATTGGCCTCCGTATTATTGGGTAAGTTGCTCCAGCTGCGCCGCCACAAACTCCCCGATGAGCAAGGCCAAGGCGCCGTCGCTACTTCGTAGTTTTTGGGCTATGCGACCAGCGCGGCGCCAGGTTCTTCTCCTTCTTCTTCTTCTGTTGAAGTAGACCCTACAGGCCACCATGTTGTTTGTGTTTCTTCGTATTTTTTGTGCAGATATATATGTACAGTGATGTGGAAGACTATTTTTAAAACTAGTTGGACCTACATAGTCAATACATACATGTAGCATAGCTTCTTTTTCAAACAAGTTGTTGTCATATTGATCAAGTTGATACAGTCGTCCAAACCTGGAGCGCAATTTTTTAAGGAACATTAAATTATTACATCCATGACTCCTGTAGTCTGTACAATTTTACAAAATATAATAATGAGTAGACTAGGCCTAGAAAATTCAAAAACTACTAAAATTGTAAGAAAACTAACTTCATTTGATTTTGAGTGTAAAAATTAAATTATAGTGAGTTAACACTAATAACAGATGATTTATCCAAATGATAAATCCGTCAATTGTTACATAAATATCACCAATGGCAAGGCAAGTACTACTACTAGATTATTTCTAGATCTATCTTAATTATTATTAGATCTAGACTAGTACACTTTTCAGTAGGCCCTAGATCTAGATCTAAGTTCATTTCACATCTATTTTGATGTCTTCTCTTTTCAGGTCTTTGTCAATTTCAATTTGTTCATTACAAATGCATAGACAGCAAAAATTTGCCAATTACATGTTAATGTTTAAATTGTATTTTTGTATGTAGCATAGCATTTAAGAGAAGTATATAGAATGTAATTTTTCCCAAACAGCCCTGTTGTAGTACAGTTGTACATGTACTAGTTGTAGATCTACATGTAGATCTACATGTACATGTATGATGTAGATTTACAAAAATGTACCGGTATGTACTATGTAGGCCCTATCTGGATCTGAAAATAATTATGGCTCAACACTCTTCGTATAGTGAAAAAGGGCAGCCTGGGCCGGTGTGTGCATGACGTAACAATTGAAAATATGGTTTCACACGTTTATGTTTGGATTTTGAATGTTAAGTACATTGTGTATGGATGGTGATAAAGAATTCCAGTCTGTAATAAACTTGTAAGTGATTTCGGAAGGAATGATAATTTGAAGAAATCTTTCAACTAATTTTAATGTAAGAGACTCATTTTGTGATCTTCTAGTTAAAAGAGAAACGTTACAAGCAATCCTTCTCCTTTTAGAAATTGTACTCCATGCAAGATCTTTCAAGTTTCAACTGCAGTGGAAGTCACACTACTTTGTCTGCCGTAGTCACTGTTGACAAATTTGGCAGCCCTTCTTTGCACTACTTCAAGTTCAACTTGAGATATGAGGTCATTGGTATGGGGATCCAAGACTGATGAACAATGTAGTAGTACCAATGATGGTCTTTCCCTTCTGTTGAAATGGTTCTGTATATTACACAGATCTGCAAGCATCATTAAAGGTACTTTGTCCCTTTTGCAGCGAACCTCAAATTCTGAAGAACTTTGCAAAAATTATGAATATGTCAAGTATGTCCTTTCTGTGAAATTTAAACGTTAGCAGTGTCCTAATATTAAAATTATGCAGGGAAACCTGTTTACTTGTTAGACTTCACTGTCAGACACTATTGAGTGATACTCTTTTCACACTGGTTTTGCTTAACCCCGTACTTTGCTTAGCCCCGTACTATCTTTAACCTCGGGCTATTTTGTTTGGCTTTTCACACACGCTGTTTTTAGTCCCGTACTAGCGCCTATTCCGGAATAAGAAAATTCATGCTGTTCTCACTGCAATTCGTTAACCCCAGATATCCTGAATGTTATGATTGGACATACTTCGCATCTGGCCAGCTGCGATACGCTCCATTGCGTAGTACCGGACTATTTTTTGTTTCTGTTCTCATTCATTTGCTTGGCACCGCAATTGCAGGGTTAGCAGGAGTTAGCACCACAATTGCGGGGTTAGCCCTGCTATTTTGCAGGGTTAGTTAACCCCATACTATAGGTGGGGTTAGCCAACTTTAGCCCACTTTTGTAAAAGCCAGTCTGAACAGAAAGTGGAATAGGCTTAACCCCGTACTATACACCTGTAGGTGAGGCTAAGACCCTCCCTTAACCCCACCTATATTACGGGGTTACCGGTAAGCAAAATATTGCCAGTGTGAAAACAGTATGAGTGACTGACTGGCTTTTTTTCTTCTTTAGTAATAACATACATAAAATGAGCTGTAAAGGGTACATGAGCATTTGTCTACATCAATAACCCACTTCTTGTGATGGCCAAAATTAAACTGATTGAATCTTTGCGCAGCATAAAACGTATGGCCATTCGGTACAATGGTCTGAAAATCAAGACTATTACTTATTGGCTCTATAGCTCCTATTCGATTTGACAACTAATAGTCATTATTTTCCCACTTGAAGACATTTTCAAACCCCACCTTTTTTAGGGAAGTTCTAAATTATATTATCTTTCAAGTGCCGTTGGAATTTAACCTTTTCATTTTTTTGGCCTGCAAATGGGACATATGGTCAGGCAGATTGTTGATGTATACATGCTAAAAAGAGCACAGGGCAGAGTACCATGCCTTGTGGTACTCCGGATTTACATTCAATCCAGTCCTATCACCTATGACAGCCCTCTGCTTCCTACATTTATACAAATATGCATATGCTCCCTCATCTTTATTTTTGGTATTTTAGTCTTTTACTCTTTTAGAAGCTTTTAAAAATAGTTATTTTTACCACTCACTAATTTCTATCACAAAATAGTCTTTGTGGAATCGTAATTATGTTATGTACTGTATTTGCCTTAATTCCTTTTTTGCTCTGTTTTGGTCTTTTTGTTCTCCCCTATTTTAATTTTACTTCTGGTACACAACCATGTAAACTAGTAAGAAGTGTTTTAGAGCAGACTTACATGTACATGTACTGTGCATACATGTGTATGTACAAGGTAGTTACTGTAAAGTATATATATGTGCACCAAGAGGTATAACATAATAATAATAACAATAAAACAGTGCTTATAAAGTGCTTGCCACCAAAGTCTCTATTAAAGCGCTATACAAACAAAATACAATGACAAACAATTAAACTAGAAATTACAAATAAACCTACAAATTACAATACATGTGAAAAATACATCAATGTGAACGGAGTAAGTTATTAAATCATCAAAAACAATTTTAAGAACACCTCAGAGTCATGGATGTCAATGTTGATGTACTTGTATAAAGAGATATTTACAGACATGAACTTGAAACTTTTTCAGGTCAGCCTGTTCAATGTTTTTATAGAGTTTGTGGTTTTATAATTTTCACCAGTAGTCTGGTACTATGTTTTTGTAGCTTTCTGTGGAAGGCCGTCTTGCATGCTCCTTTTTGTTTTGTTGTACATCTACATGGAGTGGTATGTACATGTACAGCTGACGTACATGTAATAGATACCAATACTTGTGTTTGTTTTTGTGATTTTACCTTGAAAACTCCATGCAATTAAGCCCCTGGCTGCCATAAATAAATACCATTTCAAATTTTCAATTCAACTCAACTTCTTCCTTTTTTGAGTTACAGGGTACATGTACATGTACACCTGTATGTACCTGTATACATGTTTTGAGGTGACACATGAAACACACAGAAGTAGCCCCTGAAAGCAGAAAGGATGTCTAAACTCAAGCCGTGTTTAATAATCATGCTCAGTCATTACCAGCTTGCCTATTATTCTTTTCCCTTTACCTGTAACAGTGCCTATTATACTCTGCACATTCCATAGACTATTCATGCAAGGCTATGGCTTTATTGACTTTAGCAAAGGCCAAAAGGGGATTATGAACAAATAACCAAATCAAAATTGATTCCTGTGGCCTTAGCTGTGGGTAGCTGTTCTTTATACATATACAGTACAGTATGTCTTTCTTTGTGATAGCTGTTGTTTATACGGGCGTTATTGATTAGTTCAAAGTTTTGACTACATTGTTTATAAACAAATTCAAGTCATCTCTGTATTGATTACATTACAGGTATACCTGTAGGCCTAGATACATGTACCTTTAGGACTACTCGGTAGTGGGTAAATAAATACCAAAGTTAAAGGTAAAGACCAGTATTGGAAACGCCCCAATTTCAAAAAATGAAATGGAAGCTCTCATTACCAATCATGTGAAAGAATATGTTTTGACTAATACATAATGATAAAAAATTTGCCGGGAAACCGCCTACTAATTCATATATTTGGTAAATTTGTTTCTCTCATGGTCTGTGAGAGATATAGGGTAGTCCCATATACATCTTTCTGTGTATAGTGCTTGTAACTTTACGAAGAATGGGCCAAATTTCTTATCATTTTGATGATTCCAGAACCTTGCAGATGCTAGATGCTAGATGATAAACCTTTTCTGATCGATTCCACAACGTTTCTTTCACGATGCAATCGCATGACCATAACTGGTCTTTACCTTTAAACTTGTGAAGAGCTACATGTACATGTACTGATTGATGGTTTATGTGTTTGAAATTAAGAACAACTATTCTTTAATCAATCAGTCATAATTTGCAATAAAATTAAAGATTGGTTTGTATTCCAAAAACTTGTTGAGGAACAGTTTACTGTACTGAATGTGTATTCAGATTATTACTAAAGTTGCCCCCACCATCTATTTAGTTCACCCATTCTCTTTTTCCCTTCCTGAATGCTTCATAGATATTTATCCAAATTTACCGGGAGCACCGTTAAATGTTTATATTAAATTTTTCTCGAAAGCAGAAGTGTTTTAGGGGCTACATTTTCTAGTGCTTATACCACATCCACAGGGGCATTCAAATATATCAAAATTGTACAGAATCACTATCCACCCAATTTCAAAATTTCCCCAAACTTTGTATTACTTTTAATTCTTTCCATTTCCACAAATCAGACTAATACGCTACCAGTGACATTTACATATTTTTAATATCAAGGAATT